AGCTCTTCGTCTGTGCGGTGATGGCTTGGTTCTATACCTATGCGGTATCGAGGGCTATCAAGATACACTCTATAATCGCTCACCAGCATCGGTAATTATATCGTGATTGTTATATTATCAGAACGGTCGATTTCATCTGCGGTGAGACATCAGCTGTATTCCAAAACTACCATATCGAGGCAAGAAAACCAATTCATGAACAAAGGAACATGATAAAAACGCAGAAACGCGAAGTCCAAAGTGATAAGACAGGGTTTTCATTCCAAAAGTGCACTATAATAACAGCTTTAGATCTTGCTCCCATCAAGCGAACGGTAAAAACATATTTAGGACGTCCTTGGGGAGTCTACTTATGGGTCGTCTTTATGGAATGTTTCATCGCTGATCTCATTGATCCAGAGGGACGGTTTCCATGGGAAAGCGACACTCGACGTCTGTCTACAGTGTATTACGGTGAGTACGAGAACAAAGGCCCGGGAGCGGATACAAGCGGACGAGTCAAGTGTAAAAGCTTTAAGGTTATTACAGATATGAAAGAAGCAGAGAACTTCACTGTGGGAAAACTGATATATCCAGATTCATGGCTCAAAACCACCAGAGTCCCATACAACGAGGGTCTCTGATGACATATGAAGATTAGTGTTTAAGAAAATTAAGAAGACAAACATAGAATAAACTAGAGATTGTCTACGCATTGCGTGGATTTAAAAATTAACATGGTAAAATATACAACATTTATAGTTTAGTGATATTTGTATATTTAAATTACAATGTTGTTGTACAAAATAATTATATAGGCTAGAAGATTATGCATTTGGAGCAAATTGTTGGACATATACAATGTGATATGTGAAAATAAATAAGATTGTTCATTAATAAAAATTACAGCGTATGCATGTGGAAGATATCTTCTTTTGCACAAATCCGCAACTTGTATGTCTTTATAATTTATCAATATTCATTACGGTTTCTTAAAAAAATGATTGGTCGTCTTTTTTCTTGCATTAAATTCGTTTGTAAAAAAAAATCTATTGATCAGACCAGTTGTAATATGTTTTGCTTCTATCGAGATATATGCATTATCTCAACAAAGATGTTGGAATGCATCTTTGTGTTTATTTCGTTAGAACATTAAATTGTAAGGAAAGAATAATTGATATCTGATTGCATTTTCCTTTTTCTCACTCTATTTATCGGTTTTCTACGATTTTTATCTTTCACATCGATTCGTTTGTAAATTATTATTTTTTCTGGATTCACAATTTGTGGAGGAGTAAAGTTTCTTTTTGAGAGTATTGGTTAGGATATGATTGACAACTTTATCATCCTAACAATCTTAAAATTTCTAAAATCACTAATTAATTTTCTCACACCATTTTTTTTGTTAAATTTTTTGTGACTTTTTGTTTTAAAATTATAGTTACCTATCTTAAATATTTTTATATAGTATATTGTTGGGTTTAATAAATAAAATATATATTTTTCAAACCGTCAAAAGTTTACAATAACACATTTAGTTTGGAATTATAATTTTTAGTGCATATCAAAGAAAGAAAAAAAATGAAATTGGTCATCCTTATGTTACACACTTTAATTAGTGGAATTAACTTACATTAAACTTAGCTATTAAATTATAGGAATTAATTGTG